CCATAGCAAAATTTTGTATGGGGCCCTGTGATTTCTAGTTACGCCCACCTGATAACCCAAACAGCCCACCTAAGGGTGACCCTGCAGAGCCCACCATAGATGCTCTATGGTGGACTCTGCAGGGTCTCAGGTGGGCGGTCAAGCCCTCTTACCTGTCAGCCCTGATCCTCTGCCCGCCTCCTTCTCCTCCACGATCGACTCCTCCGTCACTGGGCCTCACCCTTTCGATCGCCGGGCCCCATCCCCTCTATCGCCGGGCCCCGTCCCCTAGATCGCCGGGCCCCGCCCCCTTGATCGCCGGGCCCCGCCTCCTCTATCACTGCCAATGACGGGCCCAGCCACCTCCTGTGAAGCTGCTGGTTGTCACCAACTCAGCAGTAGCTGTGAGAAGGAACGGAGCGTTCCTCCTCACAGCCGCCAGTGACAGCCAGCAGCCTGGCTGTCCGAGCAAGATGCCATAGCGACCCAGGCGACCCGCATGGCATCAGGGAGATGTCCTGGCTGTGCCCCGCCGTGCCTCGGGCCCCATAGTGGCCGCCTGGGTCACTATGGTGATTGTTACGCCACTGCTGGTCAATGAAGTTCATTGCTGCAGCCAGATAGAGTGAAAACTAGGATCAAGTCTGAAGTACTTCTACATAAAAGGGATGAATTCATCATTGGATTAAATTCTCATAGTTTTACTTTTTCAACCACCTGCTCCTATGTAGCTTACCGTGTATTTTTTTTCACAGCTATTTTTACAATTTGTGAAATTAATTTTTAATTGACTTTTCAATGAGCCAAGCTTTCCATCCTTTATACAGTAATTACTTTTGGAAAGACTTTGTTATCATAAATCTTATGTAATCCCTGGTCAGGACACTATCTGCAAGGAGTCTGCACGTTCTCCCTCTGCTTTCATGGGTTTCCTCCTTCACTCCAAAGACATGGTGGAAGGCTAATTGCCTCCTTTACAAATTGGCCCCAGTATATATGTGAGATAGGGACCTAAGATTATAAGGCTCCTTGAGAACAGGGACTGATGTGAATGTGCACTATGTAAAGTGCTGTGTAAATTGTCGGCACTATATAAATACCTGTAATATATAAATAAATACAAATATAATCAATGCGTTTTGAAAGGGTAAACACGTGGTTTGCAATCCCTGATTTTAAGTGTTTTTTTTCATTGTCCTTTATTGATGCTCGAACTCCAGGCAGCTGGAAACATCGAACAGCGCCTTACATTTTAACAACACATGGCACTGTGGCTTACTGCAGACACTAGCCGAACAATAAACCACAGCATTTTGCATGCAGCCTGTGTGAATGAGCCCCTACTGCAGCCCACCACACATCACAATCATGCTGTTGAGTGAAAGGGGCACATAGTTACAGTTGTTTTCTATGCTCCGAAGCGGTGACTGGCATTGATCCGTCGTGGAAAAACACAGCTGTATGTGAACAAATACCAGAATTTTAATCCTTTGTACAGCAGGACTCAGACAGAGGGGGGGAAGTACTAGGGGCCCATTAGGTGACCTGCATTTACATGTTTCGATAAGAACATGCTAAGAGATGAACTGATAGTAGGTTGCTCCATCACCGTCCAGTCACCACTCCCTGCAGGGATTTCCCCCCTCCCCTCTATGATCCTCCAGTGCTGAGTGGAGGAACGAACGGGGAGGGGGCAGGCACAGCTGGTTCTGCCTCTAGATAGGCAGAGCCAGCTGTCACTCGCGCAGCTGGATGGATCACGACAGTATTGCCAGGATCTGTCCGGCCCCGGCGCTCTCATTATATCGCGGCTGCAATAGCGAGCTATATACTAAACTTTGAGTCACAGGAGGAGGTGAGTATATGCCCTCACATGACCCTTAAGAGAACTATGGGGAAAAACACTTACCCCATAGTTCTATTTTAAAGTGACTTTGCTGCTTTTTCCCTGCATGACAAAAACCACAGGTTACCTTCAAAGGGATGCTATAAAACCGCAAAAAAAATTGGTTAATCCACGGTAGAAATGTTTCTATTACATCATGGGACCTGACAGGTTACACTTACAGGAAATTTTGTGAAGTAGAGATTGCTAAACATTTCTTCATTTTCCCAAAGCATAGAAAAAGCCCCTGGAGGCAAAGGTAATCTGAAATTAAAAATCAGAAATATGAGAAACATCCGTTTGCAATAACATTACAGTTTAGAAGGTTTCATCATCGGCCCTGCCGTGCAGCATAAACACGGTTTTGTTTACATTCTGACTGTCTACACTGTAATACAGAGCAATAATACAGTGAAAAGTAGACCAGGTGCCGACCCGAGGACAGTGTCAGGGTTTGCATTCTGTTTTCCACAACTGGCTGGCTAGAGGTAGAATAGGCTGCTACTGCCAATTACAATTCCAGCCCTAAAGATCTTTTTTATCAAATCATATAGAGATCCATGAAGTTATAGTATAGTAAGACAGTGTTCAAAATTTCAAGTCCTAAGCTACTAGCCAGGCCTTAAGAGTCACTAGCCACCAGTTGCCCCACCTAACCCTTACACTGCCCCGGCCTTAACTCCGCCCCTAAGCACACCCTCTTAAATAATTTTATGATAATTCTTATCTTATGATAGTTGCCGCTTGTAAACGGCAGATTAGGGATTCCTTTAGTGTATGTGTATGGGCAGCGTGCGACCGCTTCTACTGTAAGGTCGTACGACTCTTGTCTTCCAAGCACGCTGAAAACCTGCCGAAAATTGTGCGATTTTAGGCGGGTTGGTGGCGTGGTCGGAAGACAAATGCCACACGGGCCGGTGTGCTCACTCAGCACTGCAATCATCGGAAGCCCTCCCCTCAGCGGGGAGGGCTTGCGATGATCCCAAGCACGATCTAACTCTCAGAGCCTTCATCTCTGAGAATATTTCCAACCGCACACCCCAACCAGAACCTCCAGAGCCTAAGATTAGTCCCCCTGAGCCCTTTCATGGGGAGAGGAGGGACTATCGCTCATTCATTTCAGCATGCAAACTCATGTATGACCTGAGACCGCGAACTTACGCGACTGACAAAATTAAGGTGTGCACCACCATCTCCTACCTAAGGGGGGAGCCCCGTGCGTGGGCCAACACTTTCCTGGAGAATAGACTCAGTTGACTAAAACGACCACCCGGTTCACTTGGAGCCAACAAGCCCAAGGTGCTTTCGATAACCTGAAGACCCAATTTACCAGCGCTCCCATTCTCAGACTCCCCGATCCACGGCTACAATACACTTTAGAAGTTGATGCTTCCCAACTAGCAATCGGGGCTGTCTTGTCACAAAAGGAGTCCGTTCTACTCCCATTACATCCTGTCGCATTTTATTCAAGATCTCTGACCCCAGCAGAGACCAATTACACCATTGGGGAGAAGGAGTTGTTAGCCATCAAAGCTTCCCTTGAACACTGGAGACATCTTCTGGAGGGCACTAGAAAATTTAGTTCCCTATTTATTGGGCCATTCCCCATCTCCTCGATTATCAATCAGAATGCTGTGCGCCTGGACCTGCCACCTAGTCTCGGGGTTCATCCCACTTTTCATGTCTCCTTGCTGAAACCCCGTGTCCTCGACCCATTTCCGACTCGCCGGCCGCCGCCGGCCGCTCCGGTCGAGGTCGAGGGCCAGGAGGAGTACGAAGTGGAGGCGATCCTGGACTCTAGGCGGTTTAGGAACAGGCTTCAGTATCTCATAAGATGGAAATCCTATGGACCACAGGAGGACTCCTGGGAGGATGCTGCTGGGGTCCATGCTCCTCTGCTTGTCCAACGCTTCCATCGGCGTTATAGGAGAATTGAGTGGAAATTGTAAACCCTGTAGTAAGGGATAGGGAATAACTACAAGGGATAGGGAATAGGCAGGGCTTAACTAAATCCATGCAGAAGCTGCAGCTCCTAAACCTTTTCTTCAGTAATTTAATTACCTTCCGGAGAGTGTACTGCATTATAGACATGTGCACCAGCAAAAAATTAGTTTGGATTCGGATTTTGCAATATTTCGTTTTTTGTATTCCGGTCCAAAATTAAATTTGTTTCGGAATTCGGACGAAATTCGTTTTTTACTCATTCACAAGGGGGGCGGCATCTGGGTGCCCCCTTATTTAAAGGGGTACCCCGATGCAACTAAGCTCCCTTGCCCACAGACCCTCACAACCACCGGGTCAGGGTTGTGGGGAAGATGCCCTTGTCCCCATCGGCATGGGCACACCCTCCCAATGCCGAGGGCACGTGGCCTGGTAAGGCGCAGGGAGGGGGGGCACTCGGTTGTCCCCCCCCCCTTTCCTGCCCTGCCAGAGCTCGGATCAAGGGTCTGCCTGAAGGGTCTGGTGTGAATTGGGGGGAAACCTCACGCTTTTTTTTTCATCTTCTGCAAACTACAAAAAAAAATGATTTTTTTTCTCCCTAATGTCATTTTGCTGCAATGTAATTTTGTCCATAAACGAAATTTCGACCGGACTACCGCTCAAAAAAATTCGACCGGACTACCGCTTACGAATTTCGGGAAATCGGGAATTCGGATTTGTTTGCATTCGTTTTAGCTGTAATTTTTGCATTCGTTTTAGCTGTAATTCGGAATTCGGATACATCCGCATCTCCGAATTTCCGAAATTCCATCCGAATTTCGTTTCACACCGTTTCGAAACGAATCGTACAAGTCTACTGCATTACACAAATCACTTTTATTTTATGGCATAGCTGCCAACAGTTGGAAATAATTAGAAGGGGTATTTTAAATAGCTTGAGAAAAAAAATGCTGGGCATACGGAGGTACAAAAAGTGGTCAGGAAAATTGAAGTGGGCGTGGTTTACAATGTATGGCTTGTAGTCTTACACCTTTCCCCCTTTTAAACAAAGCAGGGACTGGGGGTACACTGAGGAGAAAGTGGAAGTAAAATATGCACTTTTGTTGGTGTCAGTAGGGAAAAATAAACTCCCTATTGTTGTTAATGGGATAAAGTAAGCTCTGTGGTTGGTGTTGGTGGGAAAAAATAAGCACCATGGTTGGTGTCAGTGGAATAAAATAAGCCCTATGGTTGGTGTGATAAAGTAAGCACCATGGTTGGTGTCAGTGGAATAAAATAAGCCCTGTGGTGGGTATTGGTGGGACAAAATGTGCCCCACAGTTGGTGTTGGTGTGGTGAAATAAGTCTTATCTTATCTTGGAAGAAAATAGTGGGATAAAATAAAACTCCACATTGTTGTCGTTAGTTTAACCTCCTATTGTTGGTTTCAAAGGGATTAAATATGACCCATAGTTGGTGTCAGTGGCATTATAACTCCTATTCTTGGTGTCAGTAGGATAAAATAAACTCCACATTGTTGTTGTCAGTGATAACAAAACTAACATCTTTGGTGTGAGTGGGAGCAAAATTAATGCAAATCATTAGTGTCAATAAGTGCAAAATTAACCCTAAATTGTTGGTTTTAGTGGTATAAAATAAGTGTCATTGTGATAAAAAAATAAGACCCATACTGTTGGTGTCAGTGGGAGCAAAATTAACCCCAAATCCTTGGTGTCGGTGGTAGCCAATAGTTTGCATCAGTGCAAGCAAAATTAGTCGTTAGTGTAAGTGATAGCAGAATTAGCAAAAAATCTATGGTTTCAGTGGGAGGAAGAATAAGCACTGGTGTTCTGTGTATTGTATTTTATATATTTTCACAGAATGCCAGGCGTTCTGTGAATGGACATGGAAATCCATCCACCTCTCTGCTCGATCATTTACTGAACACCTTGCATTCAGTGAAAGTAATACAAGGAGTTTTGTGATTGGGCGAGAGGGGCAGAAGGAAAAGGCAAACAATGGGAGCCCTTCACGGATGCAGATGCTGCTGTAAACCTCCACAACGCCAGAAAATCACTTTGTCTAGCAACTGGCATCCCTGGAGGGAGGATTGGAAAGTAAGCAGCAGCCATTCACACAAAGGATATAGTCCATTACAGGTAAATTGTGTGATATGGTCAATAGAAAGAAAAAAAAACAGCTTAAAATGTTTGCATTTTCAAACACTTCCTCCGGTTTCATCAAACCTGAATCTGACATTTTTGTCAGTGGGTATTTGTTTTTCCTTGCCTGTAAAACTTTTCCAGAGGACCGGCAATGAGTGCCAATATACATTCAGCAGGAACAATTTTTATTACTGCCATTAACAGTCGTGTGAGTGAAAGCCAAACAAGCACTTGCAAGAAAAAAAAGCCAGCAAATAATACAAAGCCTTTAATATCCCAGAGAGACTACGATTGATGGAACTGCTAGGACAATACTTACTGACGCAAATGCTTGAAAAATCATAGTGTGTATGAAATGTTTCTAGTGCTGGGTGATTACAGAATGGCATTTCAATTACACAATGTCCATGTCCTGTGCCGGAAATAAGCCAAGGGGATTTTATTTTTTGGTTTGTAGAAACAACACCGATTGCAGGAAATTGTTAAAGCAATACTATGATTTACTGAATTGCTACTACACAACAACATGTAACTACTAAGGATTAGTGATCCCCATCCCTTAAAGTTTGCAACACAAAGGTTCCTATGCAAAGTTTTCATTTCTGTCATATAACAGCAAGTCGCATTGGATTTAATAAGTTTTTTATATACCAATGAATAGAAATAGAGTCTTTCACGTGAGAGTGAAAACAGATCTCTGCAAAGTAATTCAAATTATACTGCAGCCAGGTATTTATTTTTTTTAAATTAAACCCCCTTCAAATCAGCATTTATTGGATGATTCAAGTCTGTGTGAAGAAGTCATTATCTGCTTTGAATACTTGCACACTGCAATTATTCCAAATGCTCATTGCAAAACTGCCTGGTTGCATTAGGATTATATGTGAAAAGCCCTTTTTTAAACGTGTGTATGTATGAGCCTGATGAAGGGGACCCCTTGAGGCACCGAAAGCGCTTGCATTGAATGGCAATTTGCCATTAAATGGATTATTGATTTACTACTATGGTGTGCTGGTGACATTTTATTTTCTATGTATATATATATATATATTCCGCCATTGGGCGCTCAACTTCCTGCACTTTGCCTGTGTATGTTCACATGCACATTTCCATATGTGTTTCTTCCTTATCAGACCCCTTCAGTACAGAAAAAGTGACCTGACAAATGCTACAGATTTCCTGTTGTGAGCTTTTCTGGACTTAAATGGCATCAGACTTACCCAGTCTTTTGCTGAAATACAGAATACTTTCTTACCCTCTTTTCATCTCCACAACATAGTGCGGAGGTGTTTTGTGGTCCAAGGGAAAAACTGGTAGGTAAACACAAGCAGGACACAGGACCGGTTTGGATTTCTAACAGGATCACCAGGTATTATATTGCACTTAACGGATTTAACAAAAAAACATTTCAATGCAATATCTAATAGACCAAAAGGGAGCAAATAAAAGAAGTTCATTGTTAGGGTTTACATGAACTTTAACTAATCATGTAATGATATGACTTTGGAAAAGAAATGGCTTTAGGTGAGTCATATCAAAGTGGGTGTATACTTGCAATCAGTTTTGTTTTTCATTGTAGTGACTATTCAGTAAATCACTTTGCAGATATCTGTTTTTACTTCACCTCAGTCTATTTCTGTTGACCAATGTCAGAAAAGCAAATCGAGATCCACTGTGATTTAATTTTATACTACAATAAGGCATGGAAATCCTCTAAGGTGGTGAATACATTTCATAGGAACAGTATGGTTTGCTTGAAGCAGACACTCACAGGTATTGAAGGATCCATATCTTAATTTGTGCCAATTTGCTATCACTTATTTGTTTGCTGCAATACTGGCACACCATCCCATTATCCCTAGCATCATCGCCGACCCCAGAAACACCTAACCTGCAGCAGCCAAACAAGCAGGGGTGAAGTGAATATCTGCTAGTATGATCAGGCTTCCCTTTCACGAGTTTTGGACTAGCATCAGGGTACCTGTGCATTTGCCAGATTGCTTAAAGTGGAGCATATAAGGCATGGTCTTCCTTTTTTAATTTTTTTACACCAATTTTTCATCTAAGAACATTTGCAGTATGTTCTCAAGTGCTTCTGAAATTGATTTGCCTTTAAGCTGCCAGATTCACATCATCTTGTATAGGGAAGAAAAGCTTGTATTGGGAATTTCTGAGACTCATACTATCACCAGAATCCCTGTGTTTTTGTGTAATTGCTCCCAGAAGAGACCCAAGTCTCACAGGTGTTTGGTGGAACTTCTTCCAAGGCACATAAATGTCATTCAACTGTGAAAAATGTAACATTAAATGGATTTAAAAGAGATTTTTCCCTCTGACAAATATGAAGTGCATGATAAGAAATGGTATCAACATTGGCCTAATAAAAACATATACACCCACACTAGCGTACACATTAAATGCAAAGTGAAAGGGATTAAAGCTCGTTCAGCTATGGTTAACAAAAAGTGTTTGTATATTTGACTCTTGTGATTATTCAGTATATGTGCATCGTGTCAAAAACTAAGCTCTAGATAAATACACGTACATATACAGGGAACGGTTTCATCTGCCAAAGGATCTAGAATTCTCTGCGGCCACCCCCGGCAGACATCACAGCTACATCCCTGACCTGGTTTAAAGTAGACCTAGCATCAGATATTTATTCAAGTCTATGCACGCTCAATGATGTGTAAGCATAACACATGCAGGTATTTACTACCGTTTGCAGAAATCACAGAACTTCCCCTGACAATGTATTCATCTGCTTTTCTCTCCAGAAGATGGGTACCATTTTTGTTGAGGTGTTATATAGGGTCACAAATGTAATTTAATTCCCGGAATTATTTCTTGGCTCAGAAGACACAATAAATCCTGGTGCCTGTGCAGTTCTTGGCAGTGTTCTCTAATATCGGATGCAGTTTCACCCTCCTGCTGCAGCCTCTTACCTTGAGACTTGCTATACAATTACATTTACAGTCTAAAGCTGGCCATACACTGGTTGAATGTTGGCTTCTGCTTGCAGCAGAGATTACCTCAACCAAGGAAAGTCACTTGTTTGGAGCTCAAGCACTGTTTTATAATAAAAGGTAGAGCTTTTTTGAAAAGGATAGGGCTAATTTATTATATGTCATGTCAGGAACGTGTTTATATGGTAAAATAATTAAGAGGTATACTTTAATAAACACCCTCAGATTGCCGACTGCACAAACATCAGAAGCATACGGATGCCATCTTTTACATTGCTCTGTCCTCTCCACCTGTCAGCATATTCACTGTGAGCACATGTGAACTGCAAGCCTGACTGGCTTCTTTTGCTGGTCCTCTCTCTCCTAGTCTGAGTGCTGCTGCACAATTACAAGAGGCTGATAAGAAACTCTGGTACCTTAACCAGCCACATTTAAAATACATTTAATTGGCTTTATGTCTGCCTAAAATTCACCTTTAAACAAGGTAATAGATGGCAATCAATGTAACCACAATAGCTATACAATAGTTTTACAACAGAGCACAATACATTGATTCACCTAAAGGTGTTTTAAAGTTTTTTTCTTGCTTCAGCAAACAGGAAAATCTTTGAGTGGGGCAGTCTACCGAAGTCAATGTGTCCATGGAGCCAAGATAAACTTCATATTGATTAATGTCAAGTATTTAGAGGACGCCAGAGTTTTTAGAGCGTGTTCCACTTAGTATGCAGATCCTCTAAAGTAAATAACTTCTACACTGCAAAGTATTTCCAACATTTACTAACATTAACTGGCTACTTGTTTAAATTTAGGATTATGGAAAGGTTTGCAAACACAAGGAGGACAAAAACAACCAAGTCAAAATGCACAACACTTACTTTACAACAATATTTCCCAGTGTGTTTGGCTTGACTTCTTGCATGTGGCTATCCAATATTTTTACTGTAAATAAAAAGAACAGGAATATTACTTGAGTTGCTTTTTTTGTGGACTTCGCACAATTTACATTGAAAATCCTGCATATAAAATGACCAACACTAAATGCTGACAATGCACTTTTTGAAGCAACGTGGCAGATTTAGGCATTTGCTTGTAATAATTACAATGTGTATTTGCAAGTAATAGATATTGACTGAAGTTCCACATCAGTGATCATCTCCTGCGATGTCCCCGCCATGTGCCGGACAGCAAATTTCACACACATCAACAGAGCTGTCGCATCATTCTGGCTAAAAGTGGCAGGGTGGGGCATTGCTGGCCCTACTGGCCTGGGCTTGTCACGTATGCAACAATGCAACAGAGACCTTACCATGAAAAAAATTCATAGATACAACAAACATATTGAAGCCATAGTCTTGTTTTTATTCCACCTTTTTATGTTTTACTTTTTCAAGGCTAATCAGTATTAACCATGTCTGACCCAATATTTGCTGTACACACATACCATACATAAAACTAATGGGGAAAAAAATCCTGCAAGGGTTAAAATGCTCATTTTCATCTAGGTTTTAAACCTCAGACAGGTCCTTCCAAAGTCTCTCCCCCTCCACTGCAGCTGTCTAAGGTCCTGTAAATCATCACGTCTATGCACAGTGTATAGACATGAGAACTCCGAGGAAGATGCTGCAGGGAGGGGGTGACAGGCTGGAGGGAGCTCTGTGACTGCTGGCTGGCTCGGTGCTTCGGGTGAGTATAACTTTGCTATTTTAGCACCTAGACACAAACCAGCACTTAACCATTGCAGTGGGGTGGTAGTCCCACTGCAAGAGTTAATTCAACTATCCTGGAGTTCTTCTTTAATCCTTTGACTGCAATCCCTATGCCTCCTACAGTAGTTTTTCACTTACAATAAACACCAAAATAAGAGGTTATATTTACATGGCCCACTTTTGTTTGGGGGCACCACAATTTTAATTATACAATAATGGCCCTGCCACTAACTAAAATCCCTAACAGCAGCTGTGCTAAAATAGTAAAACCATTGAAAGAAATTATCCCAATATTGCACTGCGCTTAATCAAACAAAACTATATTATATACATAAATCATAAACATATACACCATATTGCATGTATATTATAGGAGTCCCACACAATATACTTTGAATTTAAGTGTCAGAAAGTTCTTAAAATGTTCAAAAAGTATCCAAAGTGCTCCAAACCCCTCCTTTGTGCTCTGTTTCCCTCAATAAAAAAAACACAATATTAACACTATTTCTTTTTGGTTAATATTATTCATTTCATTACTAAAAATTCTGACAATACTGTCTGGATCCACCCAGCTGCGTGAGTGACAGCTGGCTCTGCCTATCTGGAGGCATAGCCAGCTGTACCCGCCCCCTCCCCCGTCCGTTCAACCAGTCAGGGCTGGAGGATCGGACAGGCGAGGGGGGGAATCCCTACAGGGAGCCGTGACTGACAGTCACGGATCTCTGCAGGGACAGGATCGAGAAGTGAGCGAACACCGGTATGTGTTCTATCACTTCCCGATCTATTGAGCCGACGTGTGACAGTTTCATTGTCACACGTCGGCTCGAACTATGAGGCTTAGTGATTTTCACTCGCCTCATAGTTCTCCTTTAAAGAAGGTTCTGTTGTAGGGGGAAAATTTCAAGATGTGCCACATTTTTTTTTCTTTTATATAAACTTTCTACAACTTATAAAGCTACCATGTACCATGAGCTGTATGTAAACTCACATTTATCAGGGGTTATAAGGGGTTTCCTCGAGAATTGAAAACTATTTTAAGTATTACTCTGGGGTAAAAAGGTTGGCAAAAGCTGTTCTACTAGGCAGCAAATGCAGTAAGGCAGGGCTCAAAATTTCAAGTCCTGAGCTACTAGCCAGGCCTTAAGAGTTACTCGCCACCAGTTGCCCCACCTGACCCCTACCGTGCCCCGCCCTTAACTCCGCCAGGTCAGTGGTGTGACACAGAGAACAGAGATCAGTAACAATGCAGAGTGCAGAGGCCAGTGGTGTGATGCAGAGTACAGAGGCCAGAGTTGAGCCCTGCAGTAAGGGATACATCATGGCATTCAAAGGGTTGAAACAAGCATATATCTGCTCGTTCTGCTTGTGAATCTAAAAGTATGAAAGGTTTTTATGGCAATCCACTCATTTACACTTCTGCATATATTCAATTTATACTTTTCTCAAAAATGTAGGCAAACATTTTGACAAAAACTTGTACAATTACCATGGATGTAATGAATTAACAATACAATCTAAGGTGCAAGTCTAAAGGCAGCATTGGTAGATCTTCACAAACCATGACAAATTTAAACATAATTTAGATTTTGTTAAAATATTTTTTTTACAACCCTGTTATATCTATACTTCAGGCCTACTAATATTTTAAATAAGTGTATTAACAAATTTTAGATCTACAAAAGCACCACTAGATGGCCCTAAAATATTTCAATTATTATATAAAATAGTAAGTTAAAAGCAATATAGATTATGATATTTCTGGCCAGGCCTATTAATTATTTTTTTGATTCAGAATGATTCACCCTTGTTCCTTTGTCTGTGTGACATTTTAAAACTAAATTTAAATGTAAAACTAACAGCTCTGAGCAATGATGGATCAAGTGTACCTTGAGCTCCAGACTGTTATCAGTTCATGCCCACCCCTTCCCCTAAAAAACACACAATTCAGGTGCCTAAAGGAAGAGTTTAAACAGATACATTTATTTTGCTGGGAAGATCTATAAATAAGAAAGAAACTTGTAAAAGGGCTTTCCTCTAAATTATAAAAAGAAACCATCGGTAAAATTATAGCACAATTGAAGTGAACCTGTTTTTTGCCCATGCATGGTGCAATCATAATAGTGACACTAATAAATTAAAATGTATAGCCACCACAGAAGTTGTAGCAACATGGAGAAGAGCAGACCCTTCTGAAGTTTTAAATCAGAAAAAAAGAAGGGTAGTGGGAGATGAAGAGAACTATGAAAAATTAGCAAGTGATCCAACAAGTAATTATAAAAAGGAATTAGGGAGATTATTAAAAGATGGGTGGAAACAGGGAATTTTAAATTTAAAAAAAAAGAGAAGTGTACAGATATTTGTCAGGTCCTCTCTGGAGAAATTCTGGACAGCCATGGATAACAATAAATAAGGAATAAAATTCAGAAAAAACAGTAGTGAACAAGGGGTCCAGTTTTTGGACTTTTATATGTTTATTCACCAGGGGGAGATATGCACAAAAACATTTTTTTAAATGACAGACCGCAATAGTTATATACCCACTAACAGTTGCAATCATCCTTATTGGATCACTGGTGTTCCGAAGGGACAACTTACGAAAATTAGGGGGAACTGTACTATAAATAAGGATTTTGAGGAACAGGCTACAAATATTGAAAATAGATTCATAGAAAAAGGGTATAAAAAAAGATAATATAGAGAAAATAAAAATATGTGAAGGAGATAGAGTGGACTTGCTGAAAGTAAAGAAAAGAGAAAGGATTATGCCATCTTCTTCATTACAGATTATTCCACACAGTACAAAGAAATAAAAAGAATTGTGGGCAAACATTGGAGTATTTTAATGAAAGACAGGACACTTGGGCCTAGATTACCGAGAAAACCAAACATCATATATAGAAAATCCCTTATATTAAAAGAAAAATTAGTACACAACGTTATAGAATCCCCAAAGAAACCTATTATGTTATTTGACGGAATAGGAATCTATCCGTGTGGTAGGTGTACGGTGTGTCAAATAACCCATCAGTGAAAGAAAATAACTCAATTTAAATAAAATACGAATAATAAAGTTTTTGATATAAAAGAATGTATTTCTTGTAGTACAACACATGTCACATACTTGCTCTAATGCCCATGTGGCCAGAAGTATGTGGGGAGAACTACAAGACAAGACAACTTAGAATACGCAAACAGGAACATGTCAATAATATAAAAAATGGCTTTACCCAGCATAGCGTATTTAAACATTTCAAGTTACATCACAATAAGGATCCAAGAGGTCCTTATTGTGGATCCTGTGGATTTGATAGAGCAATGAGATAATAGAGAGGTAATTTAAAAAGAGAAATATCACAGAGAGAAACTAAATGGATATCTGTTGGACACTATGTACCCAAAAGGCTTCAATATTAAATTAGACCTTAATTGCTTTCCGAGTAATTATTGATCAGCATTATTATGTAAATGTAATGGTTTTATTGGTGTATTTAGATAATTATATATATGGTGATTTTTTTATGATAATATTTATGTATACCCCCTTGGTATAAATCCATTGAAGAATGTAGACTATATACTCTCATCCGTTAATCAAAAAATATGAGAGTTTTATTTTCCAAAATAGTGGGTGTATATATTACAAAGAATGTATATATTTTAGCCCTGATAGATTAATTATTCGATATTAACTAGGCTTTATATTATGGTAATTGTGTAATTTTTACTGATTTAAAATATGTTGGTATTAATTGAAGGTTATTTAGCCATTTATTATATATCCACCATCTTTGTGTATAATGACTGCTATTTTAGTAATAATACTTCTTACTATGTTGATGACTATAACTCATTATTAATACTCCATTTCTGTATAATAGATTTTGATGATTGTATGTAAGTAGTGAGACATCTAGTGGCTTATTAAGGTATAGCTAACCTTAAAAATGGTGCTTTAGTTCTGAAATGTGTTTCCCATTATGAATATAATCCTAGTGACATCTAGTAGATAAAATCAGTATCGCAAGTCTTGATTTAAGGGAGAACAGGAAGCTTGTGTAAACACCGTCATCGGAAGTGAAACGTTACAGTGGGCGAGACCACACAGGCCTCAGGAGCAAACAGAGCGGATGAGCGTTTTCTGGATGGTTTTAAAATGATACTTTTTACTTCATCTGTAAGTGTTTTTACTAATATTGAAGAAAACGTTTTGATATACTGATCTATAAAAGATGCACAGCGCTAAATATTCAACCTTCAAACAAATAATAACAATAGCAAAAGAGGTGCCTTTGTTAAGCACCAATATAAAGTAAGTACTGAATAAAGTGCTTCTGGAAATTCTGATCATTCTAAAAATGAATAATTAATCAGTGTGTTATTTCAATTAATAGTTAATAACATATAAACATTTTTGCCATATATAAAGTGCAAGGGTTCAAATAAATTGTGATCTCATATCTAACTGCTCCAAAGTCCTTCTTGGTCTGAGGTAAAGATCCCTCTAAAAATGTACTATTTAACTACCAAACATGTTATACAGAACACAAGAAAACGGCATTGGGGCATGTGAAGTAGAAGACAGAAATAAAATACACAGAAAAAAAAATGCTTTTATAAATAAAGGCAACTAATTTTAATCTATGAAAATGGTTGCTACCATTTATGTGTTTATTTAGAATTTAAAGCCCTATTCCATGTTGCCCTAACCCCCCTCAGTCCCTCCACCCACCCTGCACCCATTTTAAAAATATATAAGGCATACATACTTTGATTTCAAGTATCTTCATGCCAGTCATGTGACAAGAAGGGTCCTTCCTCTTCCTCAGCATTGGTTTTGTGCAGTTCTTACTGCTGCATAAAGCAGCTCTCATGCTGTGACATGAAATACTCATTCTATGCAGCAACATGCGAGAGCTTCATAGGCTTCATGATGATGCACCTCCAGGTGATTTGACAGCCTGTTCTCACAGGAAGTGGGCTAATGAGACAGCACATGATACAGCCTAGATTGGGAGCAGCTACCAGCGACAGAGGACTGAGCATGGAAAGGGCGAGTAGCACCTTGGGGGTAGGGGGTGCTTTAAAAAAACAGCGGGGCATGCCAATCACAGCACCAATGTAGAATGGTAGGCAGAGAGTTCTGACTAAGTATGCTGTACCACTATGCTTATATCACTAGGAAGAATTTAAGTGTTTAAGAGCTTAAAAATAAAAATACATTTTAGGAGACCTGACTTTACAGTTCACGTTCACACTCACAATGTGTGATTCACAGCTTTGGGCTTCTCAGAGCAGATAATAGATGTTCTGCATATCAAATATCTTCAAAGCTGTGAACAGCACCTTCTGTATAAACTCAACACATTCTAAAGCTTTCCCACAAAGAAATACTGTATAAAAGAGACAGGGGTGTTTAAAGATAAAAGCCTCTGACATCTCATGGTTCTCCTAATATAGCATGGAGCCCAAAGTAGAAAAAAAGGCAAAAGGTACATTTTACTTTCCAAGTCCTTAGCATTTGATCTGATATGATGTATTGGCACAAAGTTTCATATAATGAAAGAAAACCTTTAAACGTTCCAAAATGAGAAAACAGAAACAAAGGAAAAAAAACCATTAATATATGATTTCAGAAACTAATGTATTCTATATTCATCTCTTACAGAGTTCATGATTTATAGCCCTAAGAAAAAGCAGCATTTATAAAAAGTGGATGTGCTTTCATCCAAACATGCTTTCTGAATGGACTCCGACCCAATTCAGCTTCGTATTTAAAGCTGGCTTACCTGAAAAATGATTTGTATTTCTGTCCATCCAGTTCTAAGCTTTACAAAGCTCTGCCAGACTGTACAACCAACCTGGTGACCTCATATTTCTCTGCTGCGATTAAGCAATAAAGCTAGGTTACCTCTTGCCCGCAGCCTGTGATTGGATAGTGAAGGAGTAGCAAAAAAACTGATGAGGCCATATCTCTCCATCTTACCTCCCGTCCACATATATGAATGGAGTACACCTTATTGGCCCCAAGTATTGCCCTTTTATCTCCAAGTCTGATTGCTGCTATACTGTGGTTTTGAAGAGGCTGACAAAAAGTTCAGGCATTTATTCTAGCTGCATTTTAATATTTTTTTTTAAATAAGCCCAACTGAAGTTTTCCAATGAACTGATAAAAAAAAAGTCAGGTTGGATACAAATATAGGTGTTAATCGGTGCAATTGGTTTAATTGTAATGCCCCTCCAGACCCAGCACACAATACCTTTGGCTTGAAGGAAGACTGAAGAACTCTGTGTGAGAGGAGTGTTTCCTCTAGAGTGGTCCGACATGCCACCTGCTTTTTTACTACAGCAACGGCGCTACCATCAGCATGGATTGCACTGCCTGCCCATTACAGCACTGTAGCATGGGGCATGCCAGACTGTTGTAGAAAGCTAAATGCTTTCACACAGAGCACTGCAGTCTTTAGCTAAATGCTCTGCTAGCCATAGACATGTTGTGCTGGGAAGGAAAACAACTATTTAAAAGTTGATTTTTTTGCATCCGATCTGACTTCATTTATGGGAAAACTACAATTGGGCTTTAAATAAATATCTGACTGCATTCAACTGTGTTTTTTCTTCTACAATATCTCCCCGGAGTTAAGCTTTAATGGTAAAGCATAGAGGAGATATAGGGTGCTACATTTTGGAATTGTCTGGCAATCATCCTCTTCATCAGTTTCTCTACCTAAGGAGTCAATGGCTTGGAACAAGTATGCAGGTCATGACTTCATAGCCTGCATACTTGTTCCAGCTTAGAAATTCACTCATGTCAAAAATAGCAGTACCCTTGCTCCTGACCCAGCAGACTGCCTGTAGCATGATGCAGGTTAGACATACAAAACAGCAAGAAATATATTCAGGTTTGCACACAAACGTACACACCACGTGTGTAATAGTAAAGAAGTTACATCTGCCTCCCTCTCCAGCTGTCTTGCAGGTGGAAACTGCAAAAAAAAAAAAGCAGTCGACTGACTGACTGTTGAAGGGATTAATTATATAAATAGGACAATATTTTAATGGTAAAGGGGACATGTGGCAGAGGAAGTAACAATTTCGTTTTTCCCTGTTGCTGTACAGCATATATTTACGCACCATTATATCCTGGAACAGGCTTCCCCGCTTGCCCTGCAGGAGGTGTCAAAGAATTCCCAAGTCCTATACAGGTTGCTGTGATAGCAGATCCAGTTTCTGCAAAACAGATTAGTTAAGATATTTATACATTTTATAAGAGTCACACAGAACAGAGCACTTCTATCCAGGTCATTTAAAAAAATAGAAAATGGTTACTTTACATAGTATTTGGGGTTGAATAAAGACATACGTCCATCAAGTCCAACCCATATAGGTCCACACATCATCTCATTCTTAGGGATACTTGTATCCCTGAATATTACGTCCCTCAAGAAATTGTCCAAACGTTTCTTGAACAAATCTACACCCTTGATTGTTACAGGGGAACCCACAACTGCTAATTATGGCTCAAGACATCATCAGCCAGAGTATAGGTATACCCAATCACTAGAATATCATAAGCTTTAACATGTTAAAGTGATTTGAAATATTTTTTTAAACTTGCAGGAGTTCATTAAAATGCTATCTGGTGATTGAGCCACGATGGTCTTTGCTGAAGGGACTTCCTATATAGGCTGGGAATGCTCTATACGTCCCCAAACTGTGCCTCTGTGTTATCACAGAGGCTTCCAAAGGAAACAAAGGGAACTTATTCTTGACACAAATCTGCCAAAGCAACATCCACTGCAGATAAAGCAAATTCAGCTTAACGGAATGCCATTAGTTGCACGGCACCACTGGACATACAAGCAGATCTGTGTGTACTTCTGGAAATGTTCTATGCTTTGTAATTAGTTGTATACGTCATACTGTATACTTCGCTCGTGAGTATGTTTTAAATGCTGGTGAAAATTCAGTGGAAGGTGGAGACACTTTGAACTATATTTTATTGTGGACAAAGTCAACGTAGAAAATGCATTACCAGGTTCAAGGTTGATATCTTTAAAAGTGCTATTGTCTTGTTATTTATCTTTCCCGAGATCAGCAGCGTTGGCCCCACTTGCTACTCTCTCCCTCCCCTCTACATTGACCTATACATGCCAAACTTGCAAGTTCATGAAAGGCTCTGGAGATTTGCTGCAGTTAAATTGTGGCTGCATTTGCAAGAACCCTAAAGTCAATGGGCAGCCTAAGGCCAACTGAAGTCATCTCAGCAGTCCCTTACTATCCATCTTATGATGATAACCACAAGAGGGAGCATTTACAAACCTGTAAATGCAAAAAATATGGACACGCAGCAAATAAACATGTGAAAAGTCAGGTCACAAATTACTATCTCAATTTAACAACTCAAAATGTGTACTTTTGCTTTAGGATGCAACTCATAGCATATAAAAGAACAAATGTAAATATTTCTATGTGACCAACATTCATGAAACCCTGCAATGTATGCATTAGCACAGGGCTCAAAATTCCAGGCCCTGAGCTACTAGCCAGGCCTTAAGAGTTACTCTCCGCAAGTTGCCCTACCTAACCCCTACCCTGCCCCGGCCGTAACTCTGCCAGGTCAGCAGTGTGACGCAAAGTACAGAGATCAGCAACAACACAGAGTGCAGAGGTCAGTAATGTACAGCACAGTGCAGAGGTCAGCAGTGCAGAGGTCAGTAATGTAACGCACAGTACAGGTTCTATAATGTAACGCACAATGTTGAGGTCAGCAGTACAGAGGTCAGTAATGTAATGCACAGAGGTCAGCAGTAGAGGGCAGTAATGTAACGCACAGAGGTCAGCAGTACGGAGGGCAGTAATGTAAGGCACAGAGGTCAGCAGTACAGAGGTCAGTAATGTAATGCACAGAGGTTAGCAGTGTAAGGCAGAAAGAACAGGGACTTACAGTGCACATGGCTGATCTGATTTAGGTGCCCTCTTCTTCTCCTGCCCTTTTCCTCTTCCTCTCCTGATTTATATGCCCTTTTCCTGGTGGTGGTGGTGCTGGTGGGGTGGGGGATAAAGAGATGAATCCTCCATGTTCACAGCTGAAAGCCTCCCTTCAGGTCCCATGCTGCAAAAACTTCGAGCCAGCAAATAGCAGCTGCAGTCTTCCTCCCAGCCTATGAAAGTTGAGGTGGGTGGAGGAAGCTGCAGGTGGCCAGAGTGAAGGGAAGACAGCCGAACTGATTCTTCTCCTCCTAGGTAGTGATGGGCTCGGGCGTGTTCGCAAGCCCCTCGTGCAGAGCCCGCCAGGAAGCCGTCAGCGCGCAGGGCCAATCACAGGCACTGAGACATGTTCCCAGTCCACAGCTGCAGAGATCGGGAAATGTCTTAGTGCCTGTGATTGGCCCTGTGCGCTGACGGCTTCCTGGCGGGCTTAGCATGAGATGCTTGTGAACACGCCCGAGCCCATCACTACTCCTCGGCCGCTCTGTAGCTGCAGCGGCCGTGGAGGAGAAGAATCAGTTTGGCTGTCTTCCCTTCACCCCGGCCAGGGAAGAGAGAGCGATCACCGCAGAAGCAGCGGTAGTTTCACCCCTGTCCCGCGCCCTGCCAACGGCGCACCCCCCTGCCGATTAATTTCCACTCGCCTCCTCGTAAGTTTCACTTGCCAATTGCGAGGGGGCGAGTGGAAATTTTGAGCCCTGCATTAGCACCATTTCCAACTTCAAAATAAAGGAATAGGCCCAACTGCAGGATGTCCAGAAACTGCTGTGATACTTGCTTGAGTTGATAGGTGTTTACAAAAAGCAGATGAAGGTTGAGGTGAGAAAAGGAACTTAGATTAGCCTCGCACACAAGTTCTTCTGGTAAATACTAGAAATGTCACATGACTAATCTGTTATGAGCCATTACCTTATAAGAATCACAGGAGCTGGAGACCCCATGTTCTTAAAGCATATCTAAACCCATGAACAGAAATGTGAGATTCTGCAGCTTACTAGACCTTAGATGCAGGGGTGTACTTAGAAATCACAGGGCTCCATAGCAATATTTTGTATGGGCCCCTGTGATTTCTAGTTACACCTCTTGCAAAGCCCCCTTGAGATCCCACACAGCCTACCTGAGAGTGATCCTGCAGAGCCCACCATAGACTCTCTATGGTGGGCTCTGCAGGTTCCCAGGTGGGCTGGTCACACCTCTGCACACCTCTTACCTTCAGCCCCAATCCGTTGTTGGCCTTCTCCACCACCGGGCCCTGCCTCCTCCACCATCGCCAAGCCCCGCCTCCCCCACTGTTGCCGGGCCCCGCCTCCTCCTATGCTGGCCCAACCGCCCCCTGGCCTCCTCCACCGCAAGCTGCTGACTGGCACTGACTCAGCAGTGGCTGTAAGGAGGAACACACCCCTGCACTGACAGGTTGTCAGTGATCTGGACAGCGGCGTGTTTCTTCTCACAGCTGCCAGTGACAGCCAGTAGGCTGTGATGCCATAGTGACCCAGGCGGCCCACACGGCATCAGGGGGATGCCTTTGTTCCTTGTCCTGGCCCCCCTGTGCCCCGGGCCCCGTAGCGGCTGCCTGGGTCACTATGGCGATAGCTCCGCCACTGCTTAAATATGGTGACTGAATTAGTTTGATTTTTTTCAGGCTTTTCTGCCCTTTACTTTTGTCTGTTGATCCTATCGGTGACACTTCCTTTTCCCCGGGGTGACAACAAGCACTCTCCAAACTTGTTAACATAGGACAAAAAATTTGGCAGGACTAAAGAGCATCTCCCCCTCTCCATTACATAGAAGGGAGGTACTTTGTAGTTCACATTAGAAAATTGCTGAAATGCTGATAACACAGATTGAGATTACAGTTCAGTGCACAGAAAGTTACAAGGACACTAGATTTCTTTGCAATATTTGCAAAAATGTTTTTAGCTTGAGATAAAGAAAAATAAATACATTTCACATCTAAGGACTAGTAAGCACCAATATAATCACATTTGGTTAATATTTAAACAATTAAATCTCAGATTTTTTCTCAGTTTAAACATTGTCACTTTTTGCAAATTCATATTCCAAAAGCAAACTACAATGTCTTTAAAACTGAAGTAACACATTTAAAATAAATGTCCTTTCCAATATGCACTTCAGATTTACATTAAGCTGATGATCTGAAGTTTAGCTGGTGAAACTATCGGAGGGAATTGGTTTAGTCTGAAGAAAATGCTGATGCTACCTTTTTGATTATTGTATTCCATTATTACAGAATTCAAATCAGACAATTCTGAACTGAGCCACGAGGGATATTATATCTGGGGGAAAAGCATTAATCCTAAAAGTGATATACAGAAAAGATCAAAGAAAAAATAAAACAATGACCATGCACAAAACAGCAGTCTGATATTTCTTTTGCTCCAACTTTCAAAATCCTCTCCTGTTTTTTTTTTTTTGCACAATACATATAACTGCACTTTTCTAATGTATTACAGTTTTGATATTCATATTTTGTGTTTATGGGGCATCAAATCAGATTTATACCAATATTATAAATTGAATGGCTTTTATACTGCAGATTTATCCAAGCCCTTCTTGATCCTCTAAAGCAGTGGTGCCCAAACTACAGCCCTTTGATTGCCTTTAATTGGCCCTTTGGTGAATAATTCTTCCTCTACCACAAATGATATGGCACAATTCATCCCGCCTGTGATGGATCACTATTTCTCACACTGACACCAAAGACAGGATACTAGTTCCCACAAACACCAACCACAGGGCACTATTTCTTCTTGTGACACCAATGATGAGACACTAGTCTCCCACTGTCACCAAGGATGGGCTTCTATCCTCCCACTAACACCAAAAACAGGAAAACCATTCCTCCACGGGTGCTAGGTCATTTTTCACTCCCACTGACCACTCAGCTTTTGGCATAGTTTACTCCCACTGATGCTGGGGAACTTTCTACTCCCACTGGTCACAAGCTGGCCCCCTTAAAGTCTAAAGGACACTGAACTGTCCCCTTGGTGTAGAAGTTTGGGGGCTCCTGTCTTAAACAATAAATATAAAGGTGTCAAGAAATACAGGAAAAGACCCTGTCACCAACCTAAAAATATTGCAAGGTAAAGTACAAACAAAATCAAGTGTTTTAGATGCTTACTTGCTGTGTTTTTAATTTTTTTTATTCACTTGCAACATGTCTTTGAGCTTGGCAGAAAATTTGACTGCTTAAAGTGACAATAAAGCCCATCCCCTCCCACTTCCCCAATGCTGCTGTAAGGACTTACCTTAAGTGAAGCCTCTTGATCCGAACACCTTCTTCCTCCCAGTCGTTTTCAGCAGTCCCTCCAGCGCTGGTGCCATTCTCCAATACAGTACAGACTCCTCTTTCTTCCTATCCCACGGAGTTTGTCCGGTGTGCACGCTCACGACTGCATGCATTACTTACACTGTAGCTCTCCTCTTCTCCCCACCGCTAATCTCCATTGCGCATGCGCCCATCCACATCCTCCACGGCCGCTCGAGAAGCTGTTTTCTACAGCCGGGAGAGAGTGGCGGAGACACAGATAATTTTATACCCATTTGGTAACTTTTTTATTTTTTTAAATGTTTTTGCATATATCTACTGCTTGCTAGCAGTAAATATGTAAAAAAATAAAATAAAGACTTTAATACCACTTTATGGCAGAGTCAATTCCTTGACACAGCTGCCTTGCCCATCATAGCCTTTAACTCTGTGGCTAAATACTCTATTTGCTGGCCCAGTTCCTCCAGTGCTCCCTTAAAATCTCTTCATAACTTTTTGTGTAGCTGCCAGAGGAGTAGCCAAGAGGAATATTATAGATTGTCACTGCTGGCATTTGGATGTCTACACAAGGGAGGCTTTTACAGGACAATAGCATGCACAAAATACAATAAATGCAGCTATAATCTTATGGGGAAATATTTTGTTTACATACATGGTCTGAGGACAGGGTCTTTTAAAAGTGGACCTTTAACAGCATACAACTCTGTATGCCGATTTAAAATCATCTTACATTCATTAGCTAGGCAAACATTTTCATTTTACTTACAATTTCTTGTTTTCCACTTCCTGGTTCTCTTTGGCAAAAGTGATTACAATGTGATTACAATGTGCCCAAGTGCTGCATCCTGGGAAGGTTACATCAGAAGAGCATTGCTGGGAAATCTGATCTGTAATCTCATGAGATCTCAGGGAAAGGCATTCTCCTCCCCTGGGATGATGTGCATGCTCATATGTTCTAGTCACATGTGCTAGAGTTCCAGGAAGTAAAGGGAGATGGAATAACCTGCCCTTTGTAAAAATGGCCACAGTGAGAAGAATGGAGAGGAAAAGAAAAACAAGGTATGCAAAGAATGAAAGGCCTGCTATTATCTATAAGTATGTGTTTGTAGATTGTTGTTATTTTGAAGATAAGGGTAAAGTTCCTCTTTAAGTTTATACTCTTGAACTCTTTGCAAAGACTCCCCTGCCCAGCGTGTATGTGTTTCCTGAACAGCAGGGTTAGGCAGCTAATGCAGAATACCACTTTTGTTTATTATTCATTTCCAAGACTTTAGCATTAAAACACTGCAGTAATCATGTTATGTCTCACACATTCTAGTGGAAAACTAGTATGCCAATTGGAAGTAACGACTATAGCTTTGAAATATTTCATGCTGTCAAGGCAGAGCACACAGGCTTCAAGACTACAAAAATAGTAATACTAGTAGAGTATTGTATTGTGTTAGCCTTTGATCAGTGCAAAAAGCTTGGAGTTTAAGTAATAAGGTTTACTGACTTTCTTAGAAGAATAAAAGCAATTGTAGACATAGTGCAGTTAACCTTTGTGCCCCCCTCTCCTGACCTTAACGATCCCACCTTCGCCCTCCGCAGATCTATATTTACTGAGTACACTTACTCAATGTACCCCACCAAACTGCCCCCCCTCACTTCCCGTAGACCATGTCCAAGCATTATTTTATTAATTTACCTTATTCCTGCAGCAGGAAACAGTTTCTATTACTATATGCAACATCATCACCCTACTTGCAAAGTTCATGCAGGAGCAGCTGCTGGTAGTAGAGCTCCTATTGACCTCCTACCCACCCAATCCTAGACCTGTATCTCCCAAGAGCCCTCTCCATACAGTGTGCGGGCAAGCTCAAAAGTAGCAGCAATGTTTTGCTGGGAAAAAAATCTATGTATGCATGTGGAGTAGGACAGAGAAGGGCAAGGATAGGTGGTGATCTGTAGTCTAGCAGACAGGTCTAACAGCACTAGTTTGGATATCATTACAGGAAAGTCAGAGTGTTTACAGCCTTTACTTACTGAATTTCTGGGAATTTATCAACAGGTATTTTTCAGTACTTGCAGAGAGTTAAAGGGATAAAACAGGGAAATGTATTCCAAGATGTACTAAATTAGTTTTTTTGTATTATTTATTGTGCCCTGACATGCATTTTAACTTAAGTTAATAAAAGTTTATCACTTTATCAGACAACAGCAACATTTCTGCAAGGCTACAAATAACAAATGAGTCCAAGACTGTGTAATCAATTTTATGTACCGCTTCATTTAGCCAGTGACATAATGTATAATGACTTACTGATATTTGGCACTTCTCTAGTACTTTAAAACTAGCACTGCAGGCATTGCCTACCTGTTTGCCACCAATGATCCAGCACTGGTACTTTGAAGATTGTTTTGGCCCACTCCAACGTTTCCACGTCACAGCGTTCTCCAGCAACAAACAATGTGCGGAACCTATTAAAAATGAAAAGTAGCACGGCATCAATATTGGTGTAAACAAGGGCATCCAGTTTGCCTCAAAGCCTGAAAATTATTGGGACTTTTTCCATTATCCTGATATTCACTAAAAATAGCTTAAAGCAGAACTCCGGGCAAAACTTTGATTAACCCTTGCAGTGGGGCTACCATCATTTTGGTCTCGGGAGGAAAATAAAGCTGTACTCACCTAAGCCTGTCTCCCTTGGCGTCCTCACATCCTATATACAGTGTACTGTATTTTGATTACTCGAAGACACTGAGATTGCTGCAGCGGAGAGGGAGTAAGGCTGAAATGACCGGTCTGAGAACAAGCTGGCTCTGAGGATTGGGTGAGAATAACTTTTTTTTATCCCTAGACAAAAACGAGTAGTTAACACTTGCAGTGCCGGGATACCCCTACTGCAAGGGTTAATAAAAAGTTTTGCCTGAAGTTCTTCTTTAATGGAAAAGAGTTCTTTAACACATCACAAAATATAGCCCACAAATCATAAAATAGAAACAAATATTCCTATGCGTCTATGCAGCTTTAAAATTGCACGCACCCGCAAAATCGCAAAAAAACTACCATACCCAAAATTGACCTTAGGAGACGCTTTAAAAGCTTTTACCGCTCATCAGTTTAGTGTGATCAGTGATTAATGACCCTAGAGTTATTGCTCTCACTGCGACGTTCGCTGTGATATGCAACATGTGCGGCGTAATAGGCGCAATCGTCGTTTTCGCACATATGCCCACCCGACACATGTTTGTACTCGTGTATTTTTGGGTGGGGACTTTTTAAAAAAAATTGTTTTTTTATTCTTTTTCATGTGTGACTTATATTTTTTTTGCTACTTTCATTTTTTTTTCACTTAACTTTATTGTTATCACATAGAGGGCTAAGAAACCCCCCTATGCGATAGCAAAAATATGTGGCAGGTTCTCTTTATGGAGACATCAGGGGACTCCAAGACCCCTAATGTCACGTAGGGACCCCCAAAGAAGCTGATGAAGCAGAGATCTGCTTCATCAGCTTCTCTCCAGCTTCTGAAGCTGGAGAGTGACACAAGAATGCGGTAGTGATGTAATATACATCACTTCCACATTCTGACAGTGGAGAGGGGACCAGAGGGAGATTGTGTACCGACCTCCCTCTGAACCCTTGTCAGAGAGCCACCATGCTGGTCCCGGGCTCGCACCGGGCACAGCGGAGCCCGGGACCAGCGGGAGGGGGGCGCACCGATCGGCACCCCATACAAGTGATCCGCCGGCTCTATAGCCGGCGGATAGCTTGTAGGTAATCAGGCATCGCTGCCTGTTTTTACATTTTGGTCACGCGAGTGGGCGGGGCTAACAGGCCTTTTTTACACGACCTGTTACATCTAGGAAGCTCCCGGCCGGACGTTTTTTTAGATCTATTCACATATACATATTGTAATGGTATGTTTGGAAGTTTAACAGGCATTCTACTTCCAACCCCTATTAATAACATTTTATTAAAACAGTAGAATCAGATTATATTTTGCCAAAATATGAAACTAGAATTAGACGGAACATAAAATTTAAATAAAAATACAATTGCAGCCTATGTAACAGTTTAACAATCTTTTTGTAGGTTTTGCATGTTTTGAATAATATTCTTCAAATGATTGATGACTTTACTAAAGTAAAAAGCAAATAAAATGTATTTTCTTTTTATGTCTGCAGTCACCATGGCTACATCTCTGACAACCTGTGCATAAAACTAACTCCCTAGAACATTAATTCTAGTAACATTATGCCCCTTGGACATTCTTTGGAAGAACACTGGTTGAAATTGGTACTTTTTTTGGGACCAAATACGTTGAGCAGGCTGTAATGGTTTTTTATTAAAGTGTAGACATAGCTCAGTTTAAACATGCTTTTGCAAAGGTCACAATCAAGGTTGTATACAACATCTCACAACATATCCTGTTATGAGGACTCTCATAATGTGGAACATAATGAAGTAAGCATGAATTACTGTACCATTTCCAGCAGTATATTTGTAAAAGCCTGCTGTGAGGACGCTTCCAGGAATCTTGTGCCCCAGCTGATTAGTGCTGAAGATTCCTTTACCACTGTAATTATGCAAACATCAATTGATATGATGCTTTATTTAGGATACTTGCCTTATAGCAAGACTTGACTTGCTCCTAAAGGGCAAATGTTCATGCCAAGACCAAAAATATGCAGCAAGAGCTTAATCCAATATCACATTAACATATATTAAGATACTAAATATCTCAGACACAAGCTAATGTAACTTAAATATTTGCGGATGGACTTATTTCACAGCGTACTTGGCCAGAAATCTCTATTCAACTATACATTCTGACACATGATTAACTTGGTTAAATATGTTGATGTACAATGTATTACAGAATATAACACGTTTTAGTTAAAGAAATAAGGAATTTACTTTCAGATTTGTTTTTTGTTTCACTAGATAATAGTAATAATGGTAACAGCCTTTGTATTAGATATACCATGTCACATTTATAAAATGTGTTAATTGGTAACTGCAGTTTTGGATCAGATCCTCTTTCTGCCAGTATCCCCATTACCTTTAAAAAAAAAAAAAGTCCTCATGGGTTTTGTATACAGCCTACTACAGCCTTTTGTGATGAAGCTGCCACCAGGAGTACATTCTTGGAAGATAGTGGACTGTGTCGGCCAATAGCCTATCTACCAGCAGTGAGATGCTAGCACTCAGTAGCAGCCTTCTCAGCACCAAATTAGGGTGTACAACACCTAGATGGTGCAGGATTCTGAATAGGAAACACACAACCTTTTTTTCAGTATAGGAACAAAGGTAGATAAGATCTGGAATGAAAATGCAGTTCTTTAGAACCTATTACTTAAGCATTTCTAAACACTGAACAATATCTTAGGTGTCATGTGTAAAATTATAGTTTTCCATCTATGGACCCTTCTGGTCCTCTTTAGACCTCTTCAGGCTGTCCAGTGCTAGGAAAGAACTTGTAATCCAGGATGGATTTTCTCATTTTTGGCTAACACATTTGTATTTAGAGAATGAGTATTCTTAAGAACAACAGAGCAGCACCTAGGTCTCCTGACTACTGACCCCCCCCCCCCCCCCCCCGAGTCTACTTATTCCACTTGTGTAGCGTGTTATGCGGTCATTTCCATAAAAATGAAACCTACTTTGTTAAAGGGTACTTCTTCCCCAAAGCGGCCTCAGGATCTTGCTGACGTATGGCTCTAATTGCAGTCGGTGCAGTAAACATGGCTGCTACGCCATGATCTGATAGCACACGGAAATATGCAGAAGCATCTGGTGTTCCAACTGGCTTTCCCTGTGGACAGTTATTTTAAGAATATTAGAGGAAATGCATCGAGATAACAGTACCAACAGATTTCAGTGAAAGACGTCCAGAGTCTGTTTTTTGTAACATGCAGTTGCAAAACAAATATCACATTAATACAATTATCTCCCAAGATGATTTTCATTAGAATAGAATATTAACCTCTGCGTCATACATGCTTTAATTTTCAGTAGGTATATTAAAGATTTACCACTCCAGGAGAGTCAAATCATTTACAATATTACCTTGTTCTCTTAAAATACCCTTCCTTTGTTATTTTATCATTATTTAGTAAATATATTGTTACATTAAACAATGTTTTTACTTGTATGGGGATAACCAGTTTTCCTTATTAGAGATAAGTGGCAAGCTATTACAGTTCATTATAGTAAGGTCTTACTTTATGATATAGCCAAGAGGTTTTTTTGTACAAAAAAATATATAAAACATTTTAAATTGCTATGCAAGCCATATTATCATTTCATGTTATTAAACATTATCTTTCCATTTCGAATCTGCAGCTGCTGTAATTTTGCAAGATGGTTAAATGTTTAAATACAACGTGGCAACCTGCCCCCAGAAATGTCACGTCCTGCTTGTGTGATTTCCCCATAAGTCTGCAGCGACATAAGACATAACATTTTAGGCATTTTTTTGTTTATTTTTTTTGTAAGATGCTTGCTAACACTTGTCTACTTCTAAAGAGATGCAGACACAGAACACTGAGATTTACTCAGGTGTATACAATGCAGAGCAGGGCTGAAAAGGCTAATCGATTAAATCGACAATAAATCGATGACTAGTTGGTAACTATTCTCATTATCGGTTAGTTGGTTGGGAGGCAAGGGGAGAGAGAAAGGGGGGAGGGAGAGAGAAAGAGAGAGAGAAAGAAAGGGGGGAGAGAGAGAGAGAAAGGGGGGAGAGAGAGAGAGAGAAGGGGGAGAGA